AAGTTGAAACAAGGTGTCTCCGATCATGAAGGGCGTCCCATCGCGCCATAACTTCCTTTAAGTACTCCCTGTTCCCGGAATTTATCGCCTTTCCTTCCTCTGCGTACAGCGCGTCCTTAGCTCTCGCCATCTTTCTCCTTCTTTCAACCATAACAGTAATGAACGAATGTTTGCCCTTAAGTCTTTTTATGAGACTCGGTCCATCTGTGACGCTGGCAGTCAGAGTGACGTCACCTCCTGAGCCAGTAATTGTGACCACACCACCGTTCTTTGACATAGACTTAGATGCTCTCGTAACTGCACGTGATCTAGTCCACTTTTTGAAACGTTTCCCTGAAAAGTGGTTGACCGCATCCTCTTCAGACAGTCCACCGAACGCATTTGGAAACATTACAGAAGAGTGCAGCTTGGTAGTCATCCTTCCCAGCTCTGCGACCTGCAGCAACCTGTTTTGGTCCTCAACTATATTCATTCGTTGGGGAGGGCTGGAAAAAACGTTGGTGAGCCACTCAGAACCGCGATGTGCGATGTTCAGAAAGCCTTTCTCTCTCATTACGTGCAACATTCTGGACACAGTTCTCCACTGAACAGCGTTTCGGTCAAAATGTGACAGGGGCCCTCCCTGCTCCCCTCCATCGTCCAGTATCCTCTTACGACCGAAAGCCCTTGACGCACCAGTGCAATATCTAGACAATGCTCTAAACATAGATACCTGCAGCAGCCATGCCGATGCATTCTGCAGATGACCTAGAAATTTGACGCTCAGGCTTTTCAAATGTCGACCGCCAGCATTTCAAGAGACTCATCCATGTGCACATAAGTCCATCCCCTTCTGTCTATGGCATCTTTTCCTCTTCCTGTAAAACTTAAAAGCTTGACAAGAGAACGGCCTGGCTTCTTGTCATACAGTTCATCCACCACGTATGTTGGTAGAATACCTCGGAAAAAGGCATAGTATAGACTCAACTCCTGATATTTTAAATAGGTCGTTGAGTGCAGGATGGGCATATGCTTGAACCAAAAAATATCTGTGACGTTACTATGACCAGTTCTAGACAGCACATGGAATCCAATGGGGGGTAGTAAGCATGAAAATAGAACAGTGTTCACAAAGTGCTGCCCATTGCATCCACGGCGAAATGCTTTCACTGCCAAATCCCTGATCCTTCTCCCACAGTTTATCGTATCCGCAGTAACAACCTCAGTTGTTTCTTTGTACAATTGACCGAACGGCTTTTCGTTTTTGTGCTGCGATGTTGCAGTACTAACACGTGCCCCCAGAGGTTCTTTAAATACCCCGTCGGCGGAGAGTTTTTTCTCAGAAGCGTTCTTATGCATGCTTGCCACTTGTCTGGCAAGCTCATAATTTTCCAATAGAAGCATATCAGTGATGTGAATAATCATGGCACATGCAAAGTTGAACAATACAGCACAGTTGTTACGTGCATGGGAGTGAGTAAGGATATTTGAGACCTGGCATTCAGAGAGGCCAGCACATGCAGCAATCTCATCTAACCCAAGACCGTCAAGCATTTCCTTGCGTATAGAGTACATGGCTTGCTTTTTTCGTATGGAAGAGTCCTGGGAAAGGAACTAGCCACTCATGTACTCTATAAACATCATCTATTATTCCAGGACTCCTGTTGGATGTCGTATTGCCATGCTGTTTTCTGTAAGATTCCATCCAAATCTCTACAAACATCTTGTACGATGGCTGGTCCCCTCCCACAACCACATGTCTAGGGCACCCTGGATGGCCAGGCCTTATTTGTTTCTCAATTATCTTTAAAAACCTTCGAATTGTGAGCTTGTCTGCAGCAATGTCTCGACTTATCTCGACGTAAACAACTTGCTGGTCGTATAAAGACTCATCTGTAACAGCCTTGCCGCCGTGCTGCTTAAAAGCTGAAAGAAGTAAAGTCCTGAAGTTCAGCCGTGCTTCAGTGCAGCCATGCTGAAACTCAGTCCGAACAGAAGTGTTGTACTCACTACCAAGACCCTCTTTTCCACCGACAAGACGGTTTCGGTAACCTGAGCACAGCCCGAAGACAATTGCACTAAACTCTGAAATAATTACATGGCTTTCGGGTGGCAATAGCTTGTCTACGAAAGAGCCCCTATCGCCACGGAGGCTCGAAGTTTTCCAGTCACCAGGTTCAGCTTTAAACCTTTTCCTATGGGGTTCTATATTCTCCAAAGGCCTCCACTTTTTTGTGATTCCTTGCAGTAGAGAGCTATTTACCTTCGGCATTGGGTTTCCATCAACCTTGACAGCATGCAGTGGTGTAGTGTCCCAGTTATCGAACTGGAGAAGGGGGAGTGCTTTTGTGTCCACAACAGTACTGTCCCAGGGACCATTCCTCTCCCTCTCGGCAATAAGATTCTGCCTATATCGTTCTGTTGTAGTATAAGAGAGAAAAAGGCCCAGGGAATTCAAGACGCTCACGAATGAGGGGCTAACCTCACAAATACCTGCAATTGAAATGCACGTCGTCAGGGGTCCTGACACTCCGTTTGTGCGACTTAAAACTGTCTACTCTATTGACTTCAGTGCACGAACACATAGGACAAGATCTGCACGTGGATACTCAGAACCATGGCTTAGAGCTTCCTCTATAGATGGCTGTGGCATCAACGCAGGGTTATTAGATAGAGGAAACACATCCCTCACCCTTTGACGACTAGCTCTTGCAGATACTGACCACGATACAATACGGCGGTCAGAAGCCCTGGTGTACACAACGTCTGTCCACAGCTCCTTAGGCAAAACTGATATCTCATCTGTCAACGACCAGTTACGCCCCCCACCAGTACTTTTGCTTGCTGTCTCGAAAGTGTTTGGCAACAGTATCAAGATATGATCTAATGTTGGAAGGGGTAGGTCTAGTCCATGTAAGTCCCTTTGAAGTTGTCTTCACACTGGCAGATAGCATTTGCTCAATTTGCGAAGCAACTACATAAAACCTTGAATGATACCCTAGCTTCTTTAAAATTACCCCCATACCAGCAAGAGAAGGTTCTAAACGCTTCTGTAATGTGCGATCATCAACACTTGCTAGCTTAGAGTGTGTATCACTCTTGCGAAAGCCACAAAGAGCTTTTAGGGCATGGCAAACATCAGAGAACGGCAGCAATCGGACTGTACCACAGTCATTTTCAATGTTCACACAGGAGAGCCGCAGAGTTTTGGCGACCGTTCTAATCTCCTCTGCTATAGACGACTCTTGCAACCGCAGGTAGTGGGGTGAGGTCTCTGGTTCAACGGAGAACAGAACGCATTTCACAAGCCAGCTTTCGATAATGCTCTTTAGACTGTGTGTAGAAAATATAGGTCTGCCTCCTCTCTTCCCTTCCGTGACGACATACAGACATGAGCGACAACATCGCCTTCCCATTACCTGTCTTGCACCAAGCGACCCCCCTGAATGGCTGTACACGCTGTCATCTAGTTTGGATAGTAGTTCGACGTTATTTGAGGTGTCTAAATCAATCTCGGACATCTCCCAAAGTCTTCCTATAGCCGTCTGGTCATCTATAGGACATCCTCGTCTGTAAAAGATGTACTTTGATGTTCCGGCCTGGGAGAGCTCGAAACGCCTTGCCTTTAGCTTAAAAAGACGTATGTGATTAATGTGGTTGTAGCAGTGATAAAATTTGCCTGGATGTTGAAGTATGTCATCAGCAGTTTCTCTGCTATACTTCAATAATCGACAGAGCTCATTGATGAATTCTGTCTGGACCTCTACACTGCACAGCTGAATGTTGAATAGTTTCCAGTCCCGAGAAGGGTTTCGCACGTTCTCTGCATCTTCTATTCTAGCTCTACTACACATCTCACACGTCTGGCGTTCAGCCCTATCCCTTTTCGGAAGATACCGAGTCTTCCAGGCAGCTAAAGACTTTCTTGATATTCTGGGGTACTTTCTAGACGCACATATCATATTCCAGCCAGATTTCTTATCTCGACAATAGCTGCAAAGGTAAACAGTGGTCTTGGAGTCATGTGGAAGTGTCAGAAAGGGGTGTGGGATGACCCTGGTATCCACACTGGACCTGTTCGAGATTTGAGAGACAGTTGGATGCACAGGGAGACTAGGAGTGCGCTCATTGCGCACGTTACAGGCGAAACAGAACCGTTTCGTACCCTCTGCTCCCATGAACGGATCGGGAGAAACCCTACCCTCAGAGTTCATACCTTGGTGTTTTCAAGAACTGAAAATGGTGATGGGAAGCTAAAGCTGCATGTATTTCAATGAAGGGGATGATTTTGTGTGTCGTGAACAGGAACATAGGAGGAGAGCAATCTGAAGAGTCGCCGTCGCGAGTGTGGCGAAAATATGCCTTTATAGCGTCGGCGGAGTCGATCGATGACTTGTGTCCAGCTCATCGACACAAAAATTTATCATAACTCTCAAAATGCGGAATGAAATTGCCAGATCACTGACTGATTGAGCCCTGGCGAAAATCATTTAACAGCTCCTGCGAGCCTCACCTCAACATTGGCGTGGGAAAAAGGCGCCATTCTACAATTTCGAAAGGCAAGGAATCCAGTGGCGAGGTCGGTATGACGTGGCGACGAATGGTTTACTGCTGAAAGCGCCCTGAAGGTACCCGGAGAGACCCTTTATGGTGGTCAGGAGGGCCCGAATCATGATTCCGAATAAAATTTGCAGAATTAGCTTGTGTCCGGGGGTTAGGGCATTTGTCTGAACTTTAGGGCAACCCGCTGTATAGGAGTAAACCTGAAAGCCTCGTACAGCAAACACCAGCCTTTCTCGAAGTTCATGATGAATAATATTTTCCCCAGAGAAGCGGAGATGAGTTCTAATATGTCGCCAAGTGAAGTGCAGGTCTTCAACAATTAGTACACGCATTTACATTGTATTCTCTTTGACATCCTCATGTTCGTGCCGTATGGCTTCTCCAAACTGTACTTTCGAGGTTGACGAATGGTATCTGTACTGGTGAACTGTCACCGTTTAGGGGTTTTCTCATCGGTTATGAATCTTGTTCTCTGTCCTATAAACTTGTTCCTCCAGTATGGCATTGCTAGCCTGCGTATGGGCGCCGGGATATCATTCTCAAAATCGTCCCTATCCGTCTGCGTAGCCACGATGGGATCCCGCCGCTGGACGGCATCCTCGAAAATGACGAGCGAGATCCTCGCTTGCTTCCCAGAAATTCGTTTCAAAACCGAATCGTTGAACTTTCCCTGCTCCTTACTTTCAAACAAACTCACCACTCTAGGCACGAAAACAGCCTCGGAAGCCCCGAATAACGTCACAGCATTCTCCCGCAGTTTTCGCACTTGGTCCGTGATCCCTCTTAACTCCCTCTTGCACCGCGTCGGGTTTGCTTGCACCCACCTCTGCACAGCTGTCGTCAGCCCTTTCGCGTCTTGCTGCAACAATTCCCTCTCTTCTGCGACAAGTTTGATATGTCTTTGCAAGGTGGGGTCGAGTGGCATTTTCCTGCTGAGCCATGGCACGAATAACGAGCGCTCGACAAAGTTATGTAGTTTCCAGTTGTCTTCAAGTATGTAGTTAAGGGCATCAAGCACTTGCTCGCGGGTACCTTTCCCAGCTCTTCCGGCAACGCACATCGTGGGAGAGGTGGAAAGACCACGCTCGAGGCGCGAAAGGTCGCGCACGATGCCCAGATGGTGCCATCGCCAGGCGCGCACACGGAAGTCGGGGAGATGGTCGCTGCTTCGGCTGGTGCGCTTGAGATGGCGCAGTTGAGTGCGACGGGCGATGTTCGCCGGTGACGTTATTTGACCGAACATTCTAGGTTGAGGGCGGTGTGCCACCTGTTGCCTGCATGGTGAAAAAGAATGATGGGGTTTTCGAAGTTTGGATGACACGATCGGAGAGCACAAAAAACCCTAGAAGTGTCCGAAATTCAACCTTGCTATTCGCCAGAGCTATACTGTATCGCACTGTACTGTTTCTCGAACTTTTCTTTATCACAGGGTATCATAGGGGTTTCATTGTATTTTCTCTATCACAGGGTATCATAGGTGCATATCCTAACGCATACGGTAGAAATAGGGGTTTGGACATCTTTGCAATGATGGAGCACTTGTCGTTAAACAAATGGGTTACTTGTACAGCGTTTTGAGTTGCAGCAGACACATCGTGAACAGCAGCAACATGACAGGGTATGGGCAGTAAAAAGAGTGATTATCTTCCTCCTCCTTGCATTGCCAACGGTTTAGACGTTCCACCACAGTATCCTACGAATCGGCTCTCAGTCAAGAGTTTTCTCTCGGGATTGCTTTAACAGACTGTGCAGTTCTCCTGGCTCATAAACACGTGCTACTTCACTCCACAGACTTCTTCTTCGAGTTGCAGATTTATCTTGAGTTCTCGCTTCCGATTTTCATGTTGAACTGCATCTTTCGCTTCTAAAAAGCCCAATACAGACCATTCAAAGCACTGCTGCTAGTCATGGCTCTACCTGAGCCGGGCGACCGGAGCTTAAGATGTGGGCAGTGTATGTATTTGGTTAAGAGCCATACGGATGGTAGCATGAAGGCTAATACCCATGCACGTAAAGGATGTTGACATCCTCTACGTGCATGGGTGTTAACTGACATCAGTTAAAGCAATCAAGGCTTTATTTCAGTGATTCAGCCCCCTTGCCGCATGACTCGATTGGAAATAAGTCGCGCCTGAAGAATGCTGCTGTTTCAACATTTCTACATGGTGGATGTTTGGTGATCGTAATTCCACATGAACTTCAATTGCAATAATGCTTTTCCTCTTGAACAAAACGTCACTCTTTCCGTTCATGAGATCGTATAATATTAATTGGAAAAGAAGGGTGATATCGGTATGCCTGCTGATATCATAAACGCTTATTATTCAATAGAACATCGTCGTATTACTCAAGACCAGGGCGCACCTTCGATGCGCCGTGTCCAAAGTTTTTTCGCAAAGATATAAACCATAGCCTCAATGTTTTTGCGCGAAGTTGAGCGAAGTCGTTCCCAGAGGGTCAAGGATTGACAGTTTTGACAGGTAACACGCACAGATGATGGCATAAGTCTAAACAAAAACGAGAATTGGTGATTCTTTTATGCGCATATGATTCTCGGTGCCTGGCAGACAAGAATTTTAGAATCCATATCGCAAGCAAGTTATTGACCAGTGCCACTGTATACCGCACTGCAAAGCATAGACGTTCCTCGAACTCTGGAGTAGAAGAGACAACCCACCCTGGCGCGCGTTGCGGGCAATGATCTGTCTTCGCAGGGTACTGACCTGTATCTCGATAAATTGCCAAACAGCCTGCGGAGTAGCCGCCAATCGTATACTTACAGTACAGTATCCCAGAACGATGACTGCTTCCAAGCACATATAAAATATCGAAAATACTTCATAACTTCCAAAAGACCTTTGCGGATATTGGGGCTAGCACATGATTCTCAGGGCGCCAGACTGCACCCCGTGATCTCATCTGCCAGTTGGGCCACTCGCATGGGCATACATTGAAGGTACACAGAGCAGTCCTCCAGCCCCTGCCTACGTATTCGTATTGCTGCGACCTTGTTCCATTCCGACATTCCGCATTGTAATGACAATGGCCCTTCGCCGCCTATCCTCCGCATTCGTAAGCACCTCCCTCCACCTTTCGCTCCGCCACATCCGTACCACCCCTCTTACCAGCCCCATCTCCCCACCACTTCGCTACTCCCGCCTCTCCCGATCCACTGTCTCCGCACCCACCATGGTCGCCACAAAATCGGCCCCGGGCGCACTCGACACAGACGAGTCGGGTGGCGTTCTTATCGCCCCGCGCAATGGCATGCTCGACATTGGCTTTTCTGCAGATCTCAGTGCCCATACGGGGGAAATTCTGGTCCTAGGCGTGTGGGCTCTGGAAGACGATGAGGCGGAGTTCAAGATCCCGCCTTCGCTGGCTGTATTTGACAAGGATGGCGTGCTGAGTGAGGTTGTCGTTGATGCAGAATTTAAGGGAAAAGCAGGCTCTTCTACAGAGATCGTGCGTGTCTTCGGGTCTGGGGCGAAGAGATTAGTGCTGTACGGTCTTGGAAAGAAGAGCAAGGGCTCCAAAGCCGTGTCTGGCGCTGCCAAATTTGCCGTAGAAAAGGGCAGGGGGATCAAATCGTGCTCCTCGGTCGGCTTGTACGTCGACGATGCGTCTGTCGGCGACGTGGCAGCGATCGCTGAGGGAGCGAACGTCGGAGCGTACATAGACGAGAGATACAGGGAGAAGAAGGAGTCGGAGAAGGTCCCGTCGGAGTTGCTGATCGTTGGCTTATCCTCGAAGGACGAGTACGCAAACGCTATCAAGCGCGGCACCGCGATTGCGACGGGCATCATCACGACTAAAGAAGTTGTCGCCGCGCCAGCGAACGCCCTGACGCCCCAGACGCTTGCGATTGCCTCGGAGATGGTGGCAAAGGAGACTGGGCTTGACATTAAGATCATGGGACGGGCAGAGTGCGAGGCACTGGGTATGGGGAGCTACCTAGGTGTTGGACGCGGATCGACAGATGAGCCCAAGTTTATTCACATGACGTATAAGCCGGAGGGCGGGGCTACTAAGAAGGTATGCCTAGTCGGGAAAGCAGTCACTTTTGACACGGGCGGGACGAACTTGAAGGTAGGAGCGTCTATGATTGAGTTGATGAAGTTCGATATGGGTGGGTCTGGCGTTGCTCTGGGTACGGCAAAGGCGATTGGAGAGATTAAGCCCAAGGGAGTAGAGGTGCACTTTATCATGCCCGCTGTGGAAAACATGCTGAGTGACAAGGCGATCCATCCCGGGGACATTCTCAAGGCTAGCAATGGAAAGACGATCGAGGTGCTCAACACCGATGCGGAAGGGCGCCTGTGTCTTGCAGATGCGTTAGTGTACGCCGAAAATCTTGGCGATGTTGATTATATCGTAGACATGGCAACTCTGACCGGGGCGTGTATTGTGTCTTTAGGAAACGATATGGCCGGGGTGTGGAGTTCGTCAGATGAGCTTGCCCAGTCGATAGTCAGCTCTGGTGAAGAGGTCGGGGAGAGCATGTGGCGCATGCCGCTCTATGAGGATTACGCAGAGCAGCTCAAGAGCAAAATAGCGGACTTGAGGAACATCGGTGCAGGACGAGCGGGCAGCTCGATCACGGCAGCCCTGTTTCTGAAGGAGTTTGTGAAGACGAAGAACTGGGCTCATATCGATATGGCTGGACCTGTGTGGAGCGAGAAGAAGGGCGGGGCGACAGGTTATGGTGTTAAGACGATGGTCAAGTGGCTCGAATCCGTCGTGGACGCATAGAAGGGCAACAAAGAATTTTGACACCAGTAAAACTACACATACGCGAGTAGAGAACAAACAGACGAGATCGAACTGGATCTGATTTCTGATTTTACAAGTTGGTCGATGTGAACGTATAGCAACGCAGCGCCTGGCGCCACCGCACATCCACACCAACGATCACTACTCCTGCTTTGTGACGATCGTATTCCCGGCGCTGAAGGTATAGCCGTGCACGCTTGAGTGCTCGTATTCGTTCTCCTTTGGCAGCTGGTGTTCCTCCTGTTGCTCTTGTTGCACGGTAACGACAGGTTCCTCTTGCGTGGTGATGTTGCTCGGGTGCGCGAGCACCAACGACGGCATCGGTGGTAAAGGTTGATGCGGCACATGGGCAGGCCCTCGGCCGCACTTTGGCGAGTGCGACTGGTGCAGGGCGGGGCATGTCTTTCCCCCGAGCGGCGCGCCGCGCGGCGGCAGAGCGGGTGAGCGTGTCGGAGACGAAGTAAGAGGGTCCATGTTTTTCGATGTGGCGTGAGTGAAGAAGTCGTTCATGCTACTCGGCTGGCTGTTGGTGCTTAGCCTTTTTGAAAATATCGGAGACTTGTAGATTCCAAAGAGGGGGCGGGATTTTAATGTGAGATAGTGCTTGTGCCGAGATGCCGGGCTGCATTTTGCAGAAGGCCAATCAGGTTGCAGCAATAGATATTCGCGACTCATTGAATGAAGCGTCGAGAAGCGTCCTGGGGGTGGCTGTAAGCCGAGAGAGTGTGGGCCATTTATTGGGAGGAGTGTACAGTAAGTACAATATCGGGGCAGTATCGGGGGGAGTATCCGGGGCAGGGGTTTTGCAGCTGGTGCCGCTGGTTGCGCTGTCAGTGTAGTGGAGGTGTGATTTGCTTGCTTGTCACACATGTCTGTTTTGTCGACGAGCTGATTGCTGGCCGAACGGCGACTTCCTTTTGAGTGCATACGGTATATTCAATTTCTGCTCGTGTCGCTGTGTCATACGCTGCAAATAAATCTCGTCACACCCTAAGATATGACACAAAAGCCTCGCAGCATAGAGCACAAACACCAGCATCGCGTACAATCTTTGAAGCCATTCTCCTCATTCCGGATTTGCAGCACTACTGAGGACATCCTTAAGAAACAGAGCGCGCATGATGTAGTTGCGGCAGCATCATCATTTATTGCTTTTCAACAAAATGCAACCCCATCTAAACATCGTCGCCATCGACAATCTCTACTGCCTTTGCCGCGTCCAGCGAAAAACTTTCGAGTTCGGCAACAAGAGGATCATCCTCCGCGACGGCCGCCGTCACCCCGCAATCCGCGGCTGCATGCGACGGCCCAAGGAACACGGGGCCTTCAGCGCTGTTACTGGTAAGAGCGAAACCGCTGCCCGGTACGGAGCTATGGAGCGGGGACCGGTCTTCAAAAGCCGGTGCGAGCTCGAAGTGAACCTCCATGCCAGGGGCCACAAAGGAGAAGCCTTGCCAGATGGCATCAGAAACCTGACCAGCAAGAGCTTCGCCTGCCATGGTGCCCTTCTCCATGGCGACAGGGATAGGGATCCCGTTGGAAGGGGCAGTTAAGGTTAGAGGGGAGTGGGGGGCAGAGTAGGCCATGCTTGTGAGGGAGGGGGAGAAGCACGCCGTCGGTGAGCCCTGGGTAGGAAGAATCGGGGGCGTCACTTGCTTCTTTTCCATCGCTTCCCAGTCGACGGTCTTGAACCAGGGATGCTTCCTGATTTCCGCGGGGTCTGTCAGACGCTTCGCCGGGTCCTTCGTTAGGAGTTTGCGCAGCAGTGAATGACACTGAGGCGTGAGATACGAAGGAAGCTTGTACTTGCACTTCAAAATTCGGTCATGCAAGCGCTTGCGTGTGAGCTTTCCCTTCTCATGCAGCGGCGAAAACGGCGGATGGCCGCACAGGCAATCGAAGATAAACACGCCATAGGCCCAGTAGTCTGCCGGCTTCCCCGTGTGTTGCTGGCGGGCGAGGATCTCCGGAGCCATGTAGTCCTCGGACCCGCACCACGAGTGTGCCTGGTCGCCCAGCCCGGTGATATCTTTCGCGAGGCCGAAGTCGGTCAAAACAAGGTGGCCTTCGTTGTCCAGCAGGACGTTCTCGGGCTTGATATCGCGATGTACGATGTTCATGTCGTGCAACGACTCCAGGGCGATGAGGAGTTCGGCCGCGTAGAAGCGGCCGGCGTCTTCGCTGAGCATGGCCTCGCGGCGCAGGTGGAACATGAGCTCGCCGCCGGCTGCAAAGTCCATGACGAGGTAGACGCGCTGCGAGGTCTGGAAGGCGACATGGAGTTGGACAATGAACGGGAGGTCGTATTGGCCGACCATGGCGAGAACGTTGCGCTCTGAATGGGCGTCACGGACGGCCTTGCGCTCGACGAGGACGTCCTTCTCCATGACTTTCATGGCGTAAGTGTAGCCCGTGGCCTTGTGACAAACGAGGAAGACTTTGCCGAAGCCGCCCTTGCCAATGAGGCAGACAATGTCGAAGGCGTCGAGACGCTGGCGGCCCAGCGAGGGCGGAGACGGGGCCGGGAGCGGCAGCTTGTTCATGAAGGGCGGCTCGGTCGGCGAGCCGCACGGGGTGACGAAGTCAGCGGGGTTGAAGTGCGGGGTGGACATGGCGGCGACGTCCGGTTCGAAGTTAAGGCGCGGCAAGACGACTTCCATGGCGGGTTAGGCCGGGGTTGAGCGGTGGTGGAGTTTGAAAATGGGGTGGGGAGCGGTCGGATTGTGATGGATGCGGGGCCCGTAGCTTCGCTGAGTCGGTGACGGCGAAGCTACGGGGCGAAGACAAGTCCAGTGCGCATGGCTGCAAGTGAGTAATGGTACGGGGTGGGGGTGCGAATGGTCAAGTGGGCCGCGGTGAGGGCGGGGGGCGTGGGCGGGTGTTGACGTGCTCGGGTGCAAGAGAGTAGGGCGGGTGGGGTGACATGCAAATTGGGGGTGGCGGGAAGGGAGTAGGCTGCGAACATATGCACAAGGGGGAGTTGGGTGCGAGGGGGAGGAGTGCAGCGATGCGGGGAATGCCGGATATGGGTGCAAATTGGGGAGGGCGTCGGGGGGTGTGGGCGGGAGTAGCAGGCCGGACGCCGTGGGCGGGGGTCGTGGGTGAGAGTAGCAGACGGGGACGTCGCGGGCGGCGGTGCGGCGGGAAAATGCGAAAGTGGTGCAAGTGCGACACCCCAGGCGGGGCCGTACAGTAACCGACGAGGCAATGCGACGTGTGAAAAATGCAATGGCCAACCAGAAGGCTTTTCCGGCGCACCTAATTGGCCGGGGCGTTGGGGCTGAGTTCAAGCAGACCAATGAAATGCGGCAGGGTCACGGCCTTACATGCGCATTGCCGGAGGGGCTGCCGGAGGGGCTGCCGGAGGGGCCCGCGAGGCGCTGCTGCTCCTCGGCAGGTGCGTGCCCCCTCCGCCGCGCACGCCCACGTTATCATCTTTATCGCAAGGCATCATACAGGCATACTGTACCAATCATACCCATGCCATGTACTGCGCTTGTTCAAGCGACACTTGGCACAACCCTCCCTCTCTCTCACCGCCCATTGCACCTCTGCACCAAAGGGTGTGCTCCCCTGTGAATCTGGTGAATCTCACATGCATTCGCATTTCCTTCACCAGCCCTGCCGATGTGGCCCGAAATCCGCCACCATCGTTGATCAAAATCGACGTCAACGGCGCAACTGGAAGCCGACGCCTGAAGGGAAAAATCGCTCAAGAAATCCACACATCGCCGCCGCCCACCTTCCACTTTTTCAGCCCACTAGGTCACGGGGCCACTGGCACGTCATACGGCACTGAACCTTTCCCGTGAATTCCACCCCTCGAAATTCCTTACTGTAGACACTGTATGCGGCAAGCTCGCTACACATGTATCAACAGACGAGACTCGAGACGGCGCTCCGCGTCGTCTTCACTTCAACGAGCCTGCACCTGCTCAAAGACTGGCCCACGTGCACGCAGCGCTCACTACGGGACAGGGCGAAGACGATGATGCAGTAGAACACCGAAACTGCGCATCTCCACAACGCTGACGTCTCTCCAACGCACGACGATTCTCCCCAAAGCAATGCCATAGCCTAGCATCAAAGGCCCGAATCTTCATCGTCTTGTTCCAGTCCGCAGTACACGCCGAGTGAGAGTGCGAAAGTGCACGGTTTCGTGACGACAGTTGATCTGTTTGCAGAGTTGACTCAGGCGATTGCCTGCTGTTGCGTGCGGTCCCAGAGAGATCTGCAAGTCCCCTTGGCCTCTCGGCTTGACATGAAAGGTATCGTTGGATAGGGCCGCAGGCGCGACTTGTGGTGTCTCTTGTAGATGCTACCGGGGTCGAGTGCTTCGGAGCGCCAAAGGGCTAAAAGGAAAACATGGCACAGTCGCGAAGCGGAATAGAAACATCCAGAGACCTGCTCGTGAAGCACGCGCTTCGGGCCAATGGCATGCGAATCGAAAGTGCCTTTCCATTTGAAAACTTTCTAGAAAACTCTCTAGAAAGCACTCAAGCTTTCATTTTCGTGCAACCGACGAATTGAATATTTCGAGCGGCCGCCAGTGTGCTGGAAAGATCCAATCCACCCATACTCTGCATTGCTGCATTGTACGGTATCATATAGAGTGGCTGGAAGGCGCATTTCGCTCCCAGCCCCTCCTCCCTACGCTTTGGAGCTCGAGTATCTTTCAGCGCCATCTCTCTACCATCCCGCGCAGAAACCAAGGCCCAACTCTACAATGCCGCTTCCGCACCGCCACGACATCTACGACGACACGGGCGCGGTCGGCCCGCGGCACACGCGCCAACCGGGTCGCCGGTCGGAGCCCCCGAGCCGCCGGCGCCACGCGCGCGCCCCGCCCGACGCGATGAACGCGTTGGACGCGTGGGACCCGTTCGACATGGACGGCGCTATGTCCCGCCTGCAAGAAGAGAGCGAGCGCGCGCTTGGCGCCTGGGGCTTCGGCTCTCTGTTCGGGGACGCACCGGCGCGCCGCGGCGGGCTGTTCTCCTCGTTTGACGGCATGTTCAACGACTTGTTGGGGTCGGCCACCACGAGCGCGGAGAGCAGCTCGACGTACGTGTACGTCGATCCCGATGGCCGCGTGCACGAGGAGCATGTGCGCACCGTGCTGGACGAGAACGGACAGCCTAGGACGAGCAGGACCGTCAGGAACGGCGAGGTCGGCGACGGGGGATGGAGCGCGTTCGACCAGGCGATGCCCGGGATGATTGGGGGCCCGCAGCAGGATGCCGGCGTCATCGTTGAGGAGTTGGATAGCAGCGGCGACGAGGCGCAGGGCGGGGGACATCATGGTGAATGGTCGGCCAGGACTGGCCAGGAAGGTGTGGAGGTTATCGAAGAGGAACGTGAAAGGCCTCGGCCGCATCCGGCCGAGTGGATGCGGCAGAGGTACAACCAATGGATGAACCTCCCATGAGTCGACGGTGTAACTCATGCTGACGCCGCAACTGCACAAAAAATGCTAGAACCTTAGACTAGCGTTAGATCTTTTATACTCGAATGCTCTCACTTATACTTGGGGAACCTTTACAAAACTCAGACCAAGGCTTCTCATTGCCTACTTTCATCCACTACACCTATTCCCCCCCGACGCTCGCGCACGCGACGTTCGAGGTCCTCCTTTTCCTGCCTTCTTTCCTCGCGTCGGGTCGCCTCGAGGCGCTTGGCTGCGTCGTAAAACGTCTCGTTGCCGATGCGCACGTACGTCATGAAGAGTTCGATCCCGCCGCCCACGACGAAAGCCAGCGGAACAACCTTCATCAGCGCTTTGGGCAGCGGCACTTGCCTCGCCATAGCACAAAGTTTGGAGCTATTTGGGACAAGTGCGTGTGCCGTCGATTTCGTAGAGGGTACGATTCAACGCGACCAAATAGTCGGATTCAGTCTGACAGAGCCGGCGAGTTTTGGCGAATTGGAGGAAAGATTATCTACCACTTCAACGCCCTCCCCACGCTTCCTTTCTCTAGGTAGTGGTTTTTGATGGCTGTCGTGGCTGAACTCGTTCAATGCCGCAGCACCGGAGAATGGGCTGGCACCAACATGAGCGATAGAAGAGCGGGGTCGAGTGGGTAACAGGAGGTGTGTACGGGGGTCTTCGCAAGCTCTGAAGCGGCATTGATCAGGCAGCCGCTCGCTCCCGCAAAATTAAAGGAATTCAAACGTTTTGTTTTCGTCCCCAGCAGCATGCCTACCAACCCCACGACTTCTGCATCATCCCGATACCCTTTCTACGATACTACGTACACGTACGGTACTACCAAAACGGCGCGGCCTTGCGAGATCCATACATACAGCGACCTCGCCGAACATACGAGGATTTTTGCGTGGAGACGAGCGCCCCGTTCGTTCGAGCTGTAACTCGACGGGGAGGGCAAAAATTTCTGCAGGTTCGAATCCGACGGAAGAAAGCAAACGTTGCGCACAAATGAGAGAGTGACTACTGCTGTGATTGCATTAGCAAAGCCCTCTCAAGAACAGCACAAAGGCCCGACAAGCAGAACCATGTCCTCATTAGAAGACGAACGCACAGCAATGCCGCTTACTCCCGAGGCCGAAACTCTAGACGAGCAAACGGTTGAAGCCGTAGAGACGCGTCTGCTAATCGACTCTGGGCGCACAGCCACCTACGAAAACATCGCTCAACCGGAGAGCCTGTTCTCACGGAGAAGCAGGGGAAATCCTATTGCCCCCTTTCTGGTGGTCCTGCTCGCCTTCTCAGGCGTTTTCTTTTATTTTTTTGACCGCCCCAGCCCGAAGGATTGGAAAGCCACAGAAGCGAGCCTCCCCCGCGGCGCGACGGCCGCAGTCGCGCCGACGATCCTCATCAGCCTGGACGGATTCCGGCACGAGTATTTATCCCGCAAGAAGAAAGCCAGCACTGCCTTCCTCGCGCCAACCTTACACACGCTCGCAACGAAGGGCGTGCACGCCAAGGGCGGCATGCAACCCGTCGTGCCGACGATAACATTCCCAAACCACTGGGCGCTGGCGACGGGTTTATACCCGGAAAGCAACGGCATCGTGAGCAACACGATGTATGACCCCGTCAAAAAGTCGTGGTTCCACGCCGACCGCGTGAACCCCGGCTGGTGGTTTGGAGAGCCCGTGTGGCAGACGCTGCGCCGCACGCTCCGAAAAGTCAAGTTTTCGAATGGGACGCAGGAGACGTTGCAGCAGAACTACACGACGGCGAGCGTGTTTTGGCCAGGGTCGGAGGTTGAGAAACATGCGCCAGATTTATTCTTTAAGTACGACAATACGTTGCCGCTGCACGAACGTGTTGACAGGGCCGTTGCGGCGCTACAGGGAAAGAACGCAGACTTGAATCGTGAGGCGCAGTTCGTGACGCTGTACTTTGGAGACGTTGATCATGAGGGACATGAGCATGGGCCATATTCTGACGAAGTGACGGAGGCAATCGAGAGAGTGGATGAAGCGCTGGCCTACTTGTTAAAAAGTTTAGGCGAGGACGTGGCGGAGAGGTATAATGTAGTGGTAGTGTCCGATCACGGGATGACCACGACGTCAGAAGAGAGGACAATCGATCTGAAGCATGTGTTAAAGGAGGGGACCGTGCAGGATGTAATATCGTCGCCTATGGGGCTATTTATGAACGAAAGCATCTCCGCCGAGGAGCTGTACTCCACGCTGAAAGACGGTCTGAAGAATGAAAGCGAGCACGTAAAGGTGTACCGCAAGGCCGATCTGCCCGAGCGGTGGCATCTGAGTGCGAGCCGATTAATAACACCAGTAGTGACAATGGCAGCGCTCGGATGGACGGTGCGGTACCCCCATCAGCATATCGTGCCCGATCCAGACGTATCCGTGCGCACGCCTGGTACGCTGCACGGACAAGGAGATTGGGAGACGGACCCCGGGAGCCATGGATTCGATAATACTTACGAGGATATGATGGCCATATTCGTGGCTAGGGGGCCCGCGTTTAAGGGAGGGACGACGGTGGAAGGGATGAGGAGCATCGACGTTTATGAGATGCTCTGTAACGTGTTTGGCGCGACTCCGGCTCCGAACAACGGGAGCTTGGGTGTGACGATGACGTCAGTGCTCAAGGGTTAAGACTCAAGGGCTAGAACCGTTGACGGGAAAGGGTACCTTGCGCAGATGGACATCACTCGTGGCACACCAATCAAGCATGCGATCCAAGCAGAATGGAAATGAATATTCTCTTTACATCCTTCTTTTACCAATGAATACAGGCCATCACACCTGGACACTAACATGGGAGAAGAACGCACCAATGATTTTGCAGGGCTGTGAATGAGCTCAATTTTCCAGGATAGCTACCGCAAAATTTCACAGTAGCTAGAAATACCGAGATGTTGGTGAAATGAAGAATTTCGAATGCAGTCCCAAAGCAGAATTGGGGCACAGCACACTCATCCGAGGTCCCCGAGGAACTATCTTGATGACCTCCTTCATCACCTCACCAATCCTTCTTCGCCCCTCGCTCTCCCGCCTCCGCCCCCTTCTCTGTCGCCGCCCCACGATGACATCTGCGCAAGATAAGCCACATAAGGCCGCGATGGACGACGTAGTCTCCGGCCGATTCCGGCGAAAGCCCTCCGTCTTCCGCGACTGGATCTCCTCCGCCCCCGACGCAAAATTCACACCCGACGACAATCGCTACCGTCTCTACGTATCACTTGCCTGCCCCTGGGCCTGTCGCTGCTTGATAACCCGCGCCCTCAAGGGTCTGCAGAAGACCATCCCCGTCACAGTTGTCCACCACTACATGGGCCCGAAAGGCTGGAGGTTCGTGGAAGAGGGCGAGCAGAATGTTCCGCCGATGTGCGAGCCGGAACCGCTGTTTGGTCTCAAGATGATTCGCGACCTCTACTTTAAGGCCGACGAGCAATACGGGGGGAGGTTTACCGTGCCTGTGTTATGGGATACTAAGCTTGGGACAATTGTGAATAACGAGAGCTCAGAAATTATTGTTATGCTGAATGAGATGTTTAATGAGCATGCAGAGAGACCAGAGGTTGACTTGTATCCGAAGGAGCTCCGCACAGAGATTGATGACGTTGCCGAATCCTTTTACAACTCTTTGAATAATGGTGTCTATCGGTGCGGCTTCGCACAGACGCAGGGGGCGTATGACGAAGCCGTCGGGGAGCTCTTTGATATATTGGAGCACTTCGAAGAGCGACTGGGAAGCCGTAGGTATCTGGTTGGGGACAGCCTTACGTTGGCGGATATCAGGTTGTTCGTCACGCTCATTAGGTTTGACCCTGTGTATGTATCCCATTTTAAGACAAACAAGAAGCGCATTTTCGATTATCCCAACCTATCGGGATTTATGAAAGACCTGTATCAGAACCCAAAGATTAAGGAGACAGTGTCCTTTGAACATATTAAGAAGCACTATTTCGGAAGCCATCCGTCGATCAACCCCTTAGGGATTGTCCCAGCGGGGCCAGATATGTCGTACCTTGATACCCCGCACGGGAGAGAGCAAGTTTGAGAAGGGGTTCTCGTTGGTTTGGGTGCTTTATGGGAAAGGTAGAGTATCTGCGAGAACTGCGTTTTACTATGGATTCAGGAATTGAAGTTGTGTTCATATCTCCAGTACAGCTGCGGAGTGTTGCTGTGGTGTTCATTTTCTGTCCAAGCTACTATGCAGTTCGACAACACCGCGGAAGTATCCAAAAATTCGGTACCCTAGCTTTATGGTAGCATTCCGTTTGATTAACGTGGGGGCACGTGTACCGAAGAGGTCTGCAGAGGTCTGAAGGCGTCTGCATGACTCTAGGCAAAGGAGACTAATTAGAAAGAGAATAATGTCACGCGCCCCCACCCATAGGAGGGACCTCTCCCGTCCTCAGCGCTTGTCTTGCCTCCCGGCCGGTGCCCCTTGAGGTTTGACAAAGAGGAGCTTAGATATTCGCAAACCCGTATTATCAGTAATTTGTTCAACCTACACGGGGGCAGTTCATATTATGTACTACCTTGTCTTCCGGATAAAGAAGACTTCGGTAGTGGATCGTTTCTTTGACCTTATGCAATGCAGAGTGTAGGTCACATGGACATAAACGCGAAAGGACTCCTTTCTGGTGCAGTGGTTAGTTATAGCTATTCTAAAGTCTCTGGTCAAGTTTCTGTTTCTGTACAGAAGCATTCGAAAACATAATCGTACATCACATGCAGCTAGCATCCCGGCATTGAGACATCTTTTGGCTCGGAACCTCCCCCCCCCCCCCCCTTTTTTTCTAGATTTTGGTGCCTTTTTGGTACACGGCGATAACTCCCTCCAGATAACTAGCGGCGTTACGCTAAAATAAATGTATGTATGTTCATGGCAACACCGCCTCAAGCTGTGTATGGCTACAAAATACAAAGGCGCATCTCTGGTGAGATGCACCCTATGCAATGCATAGTCCTTGTTCTTACAACCATGGTGCCCATCCAGGGTATACCGCTGCTATTACATGGAAAGCTTGAGCTTCATCTATCAAACGAGCGACATGGGCCTCAACAGACAATCGTTCCGTTCCTTCCAGGCCATCCAGCTTCTCCGAGATGCGGTTTAGAGCCCGATGAGCCTCGGTGCTTCCACTGATATCATTGTTCACCTTTTGGGCGACTGCCGACTCATCAAGAGACCTTGAGAGGTCGTCCGACTCAAATATATCTTGATCGCTGCCGTCCCTCGAGTTTTGTTCCCGAAGAACTTCTTCTGGTGTTAGAGCCCAGTTAAACATCGGGTCATGAAGCAAGACTTCTACAATTGTCAAGAGTACGTCCTTGTTCCGCTGCATCACTGACAGAGTCACCTCGCTACATCTGCGAAACACTCCCTCGACGCCAGCTATACCAAATCCATCCACAAGGTCGCGGGTTAGGCGGAACGGCATGCGTTCAGGAGTTGGAAGGAGTTTTCCCTGCTCAAAAGCTATACCAAAATCAATATGCACTACCTCTCCGGTAACGATATCTAAAAGAATGTTGGAGAGGTGGCGATCTCCGAGCCCCAAAATGAAACCTACGACACTCATAACTGCCACAGATCTGGAATATGCGAGTTGGTGCGAAAACCATTCCGCCGGATCCGGCCATTGTTCTAAGAAAAAGAAGTGGAACACAGGTTGAAAAACATGCCAAACCTTTGCCAAAAACTGAATCCGCTTTGTCTGGTTTTCACGTGACTTGAACTGGAAAGCCTTCTCAAAAATCTTCTCATGCTTCATATCATTCGGTCGGTACCTCTCATGCAATGATGCGCCTCCACGGTGCGGCCCATTCGACTTATTTTTCTCCGTGAGAATCTCCTTGAACTGCTGCGTATTGCTAACAAACTGCATAATACCGGAAAATGGCGACAAAGGAACAATTCGATACGTACGTACCAGCAAGCTCCGTTTCGCCGCATCGGCATCTCTCTCCAGAAGGCTGTTCAGGATGGTGAATAATTGTTCCATGACAGCGTCTCCGCGAAGATCATCCCGACCTTTCACCATTTGCGGATAACTCTTTCCGTCTGATCCATAACAAACAATCCGCAATGGCTTGCTAAGCCCCGCACACACACTAGCCTTCCTCTCGAATTTCACTATGTGAGGCAGATCACCCCGATAATCGCTGGCATTCAATGGCAAGGGCACAGTTGGAACTGGCACATTCTCCAGTTCACCTAACTTCAGTAGCAGAGATTTGCTCATATCTAAATAGCCTCTACTTTTCTGCGAGTCGGTAGTCTCCGAAAGTAAAATATATGCATCTGCAACTTTTTTCATGTCTCGAACAGCGTCTCCATGCAATGCCGTTAAGTCATTCAAAATTTTGTCTGCTGCCTCTTTTTTGTCCTTGTCTCCAAGATATAAGGATGCATATATCTCTTGATTCACGGATATCCTTGTAGAATTGGACAAAGCCACTAGTTGCCAGATACAGTAAGCGGGAAACGCTTCTGCCATTTGCCGAACAGTATTCGATAACGCGATCTGAAACGCACCGCTGCCAATGTTTCCAAGCGGGCTTAGTCGAGACGAAAGCTGCGGCGCCAGAGGCAATAACTTGGACACAGGGACCCCGATATCAACGCCATCCGTGTCTATAGCTAATTCCGTAGTAATCGTGTTTCGCATCTGACCCGCATCCAACCATAGCGCCACAAAACGAAAGGCTGCTCTTAGGTCCTGGGCGTTTCCGTCTCGAAGGCTTGAGGCAAAATGCTTGCAGGCGATTATTTGCCACTTTCTGTACAAGTCATTCAAATTCTCCAACCGCAACCTATCCAACTTAGCTTTTCTTGCTTCGTTGTTAATCAGCATTTGTAGGTCGCGACCGATTTGATGATCAGTTGTCGCACCAGATGTTACTTCTGATCTGCTTGAACGTCTCATACGCCGTGACGATTTTTTTGGTTTCGCCTGGCGTTTACTCTTCATTGCCTTTAGCTTGCATATCTTTTCCTCAGCTGCTCGCAGCGATGACACCATTTCGTCGTACTTCCTTGTCTTCCGATAGGCGTCAATGTTCGCCAACTGAGCATCCGCGAACGTAGCCATTGCCATGTGGGCAGGACATGCCAAATGCTTTGCTTCCGCTGATGCATGAACTGCTTGTAAACCGGACTCCAAGAAAGTTTCAAATAAATTCATAGGCTCATGCGTTCTCATGTCAAGAGACCATATCGCGGCCAAGCGACATGCCTCTGACCTTAAGAAAGCGTGTTTGTCGCAGTCATCTGCTACTGCATCCCATACCACTGCTTGAGGCGGTGTTGCATCTTCCGAAACATTAGAATTTCCGCTTTCCGGGCGACCTCCGAGTTCTGAAGAAATTATGTCTTTCACAGCAACCAATGCTATCTTCCGAGAAGCTGCATCATGGCTGGACAACCATCGGAGACGAGCCTCTTGCAGCTTCCACGCAACGCGATCTACATGAGAAGCACTTACCAGCTGTGACGACAATTCCGTACCAAGACAAGAAGCCGACCGTGACCAAGCTCCGCTTCCCCCCGCTCTTAAAACGCGAGCAGATATTGTCGCGGCAGCTCTTGAAGTCATTTTATCTGCGCGCAGACAATGAACCAGTGCTATAGGCAGCTCTTCGGCCAAGACGATGTCGCTGAAGGCGTCGCGGAACGGAACAATCGCAGAGTTGGCACTGCCAGCGTCGTAGCCTCCAAACGAATCATGTAAGACCCTATCAATGATGCCATCTGTCTTCTTCAATGTCAAACCAGGGCGTAGTATTACCTGCTCTTCCGAATCTCTGTCGAATTCGCTCCTGAATTCAACATTTGCTTGTAGTGCGGGGGCTGTGGGATTTCGAGTCTTACCCTCGCCGTCGAACCACTGGGATTCTTTCCCTGCTTCAGTGACAGGAGGAGAGCATTGGAGCTGAGCTTCTTCCAAGATTCGGAAGATTTGGAGCCTTGCTGCAGTTGCATACACCGTTCCAGCAGATACACCAGAGCTATCCCGAACGAGACCCAAGAGCTCCCTCGTTTTGCTGCTTGACAGAAGCTTGCATGCTTCCACAAAACGTTCTGTACGAAACGAGTGTAACACGCGATAAATGGTACAGTGAAATCCATGGGGACGCTCTGTTCCTCCTGCAGAAGGCAAACATGAAGGAAGCAAAGCCGGTGATTCCCACTGTCCCAGCTTCCAGGCAACAGCATACCGGAGATCATTTAGGTTTTCTATTGGCGAATTCTCATCGCATGGAGCAGCGTCTTGATGCTGCAGACCATTTTTCGAGGTTCGGCATCGAAGGCCACTCCAATAGTCTGTCGCTATGGAGAGCGTGCCAAGGCGGAGCAAAGAATGAAATAATGAAAGCTCCCGGTTCATGTCAAGCATCTCAGACTCGATTTCACCAGTTGACTGTCTCGCGATAGACCAGCTCGAGCCCCTGGTCATTCGAGAAGCGATGTCCAATGCGCTAAGAGACCTTATCCAGTCTTCATCCAGCATTGCTAGCCCAGCCGCAGCTTGTGATAAATCGGCGTTGTTCCCAAAAGCGCGCACTCCATCTGGCTCTTGGATTCTTGTCATCGCCAATAGCAAAATCTCCTTCACATCATTCCTTGCATTTCCCTCCGCTCGCTCGACAGAAGAATCACGAGTCATATAAGAAGACCGTTTACGGTCTGTTTTGTGATTCTGTGTCCCGGAAAAGATGCGAAACTCCCTTTCTGCAACTTTTTCGTCAACATGCATTTGAGAGAATCGAACAGCTGAAAAGTAGCACCCAGTTCGTAGAGCAGCTCGCGCTGCGTCGATGTAAGGCACTGCTAGAACATACCTCGGCCGACAAATGGGCCAAGCTTTGCCCTCTTCGATCGCTGATGTTATCCCTTTTTGACAAATCACCCGGGAGCCTACTTGACACAAGACGTCAAGTGCGTGAACGAAAGCTCTAATTATATTTGAAGGAGTCTTCGGATCGTTCAGGATATTTTCGCAGAGCAAATACCCCATGTCCACATGATTTTGACTTTTGTTTTGTGTAACAACATCCATCAACAAGTATGGAAGCATCTCACTTGCAAACTGGTACGAAATATAACACGGCACCGACAAAGTCTTCAGTGCTCCCGACTCACACATATTTGCAAGCACGCAGCAGAATCGTCTCATCCAACTTTCATCCCCAGGCAATGAGAGACGCTCGTCCTTGTTGATATCCCACAATTGCGAATCCATTAGCGCCGGGAAGGATGCCCAGGGCGCAGGTTCCCCGGTGCTGGGATCAATGATATTTACAGGACTTGAAGAGCCGGCGGTCACCGCTAGTTTTCGCGCTGCATTTCGAAAAGGCGTGCAGATGCCCAGATTAAATTTGTCGCGAGCGTATAACCTCTTCCCGTCCTCAGTTCCCAATATTTGGATCAGGGTAGTTATCGCAGCTTCGGCGGCAATTGGGGAGGAACCATGGACCATTTTGAGCAAAAGAATGAGACTTAGCCTAATTCCACAGGAAATTTCTTCATAGCCCTGGTTTAGTGCCAAACTAGGAATTAACTTGTGCCGTGACTCACCGCGTATGTACATTTCTGACTGCGGTTGAAGAAGACCAAGCAACGCCATGACGTCGGCTATCTCATGAGCCATTCCTTCCATTTTCTTAGCCCTCTCGTTGTCAATGAGTCGAGTAGACGTCCGAGATACAAAACTTCCCTCTGGCTTTCGCTTCCGCAAATCTCTCTCAATTGCATGGACAAATTGAATGAGACACGCTATCGCGCGTCGCACATGTGGAGCAGTTTGCTCGTGTTGGCCATTGCTTCTCACCCAAGCCTCTGAATTCATCCGACGAGAGAGCTCACTTACAGCAGAGTCTGATAGTAGCCTGTGCAACTCCTGAATACATGCGAAAGTTGGAAAGAAGGACTCATTCTGTGCTCGCAGTCGACACACAACATGAAAGCGCTTCAAACCCGCCACGATGGCACCAGCAGCATCTTCTGTTGGATTGCACTCAGCGCTTGCCTTCGAGGCTTCATATAGTGCTCTCACTTTTAAAAAGTGCTTCGACTTTGGGTAGGGTCCATTGCACAGAATTGATGTCCAAAGCCCTTCATCGTAGCAAACCTGTACGAGGTTGTTCAATGCGACAAGAGAAACGTTATTCAAAACATCAGATGAGGCGCGAGTAGACTTAGAAATAATGGATACCAGAACGGGTGTTACAGCACTTAACAACTCAAACATCTGGCGTTCACTAGAGGTGGTCATGCAGTGCAAATGTTCACTCTCCGCCGGGTCCACACGAAGATCAGTAGCAATAACATTCACTTCGGGATAACGGTCAGCCATACAAGACATTTCCTTTTGAACCTCTAGCAGGAGCCAGGCTGCGTCATGAACAGTCTCATAGTGTTCAAATCCCTTAGCCATCAACTTGTAAAAAATGACGCGCTCACTGGACGATTTGACAAGAATATTGACACCCAGTGTGCGCCAGAGCATTCCGACGCAAAAGAATGCGTCGCGTCGGTGCTGTGCAGGTTTCGGGTTTGGCGGGCCCATGAGAAAATTTGAAATCATTACGAGCATGCGGATGAGAAATACTTTGCTCTTTTGGCATTCTTCCAAGAACCCGTTGAAGTTTGCAGCGAGACATATTCCATTCTCTTCGTCCCTAAGATCGGAAAAGAGAGAGCCCTTCAAAATGCTCCTCTGAATGATTAGTCTGTTGGAGTCAACTTCGAACAATTGGTCAATCGCCAGAGCCACGACTAGAGGATCATAAAGTGGTGGCTGTACTTCGCGTGTATCTCTTGAAAATCCAAGGCTCTTCGCCTGATCCAATCTATGCCGAATTTCGGGTTGCCCAGTGTGCTGGAAAGATGTGCTAACCAAAAAGGACCGCAAGACTTCAGTCTTGTGTTTGAACATAAGCTCCTTCGACTTTCCCTCAAGGACGTTATCGACTGCCTTCCAAAGAGCTCGACCCCTTTCATGTAAGCTTCCCGCAAACTGCATTGGAAATATAAGAGATGAAGAAGCAACATTTGTGGACAGCAGAACTTTCAGGTCAACGCCAATTGCTTCAGCCAGTTCCGTCGTTCGAGGTAGAGATGGGGCAGTATCTAGAACTAACACGTGTGGAAGTATCACTGATTGCTGTTCTCGTATCCAATCGAAAAGTACTCCATCTCGATGATGGTCCACGTCCACTAGAACGGAGGCAGGAAACTGATACAACCATTGAAGTGCTTGAGGATGTTGGAACCATTTCGATAGTAGTAACCTTGCAAACGTGTGATACAAGTGGCGTGGGCTGCGGTATCCTTTTGTCATGCACAATCGCACAAGGGCTTGATAGGCCGCAGAAACGTGCTTGCCATTCTTGAGCACACGCAAGAGTATCAGCAGCAAACATAATGGTAAAAGATCCTCCCGTACACTGCCCAATTCGCAAAGAGCCACAAATACGGTGTGAGCCTTTGCCCGAGCCCCTATCGCGCGGAATGACTCACTTATGGAAGCGCAACCAATCTGCTCATGTGCTGATAGACTTAATTGTGTCACAACAGCATTTTGAGTATCCGCTCCGGTACGCACTCCAATCACCTTTCCGTAGTATGAGGCGCTCTCCCGACACGCACTGCTCTGCGGAATACTGTCTCGCAGAATCGTTTCGAGTTGTGATACTGGACATTTGAAAGTCGCGAGTAACCGCGGGAACAGCAGAGCTGCCACGAAACGGACGGTGGCCTCAGAATCAGACAAAAACTTCAAAAGCGCGGCTCGAATTGCCTGTATCATGTTTTGTAGAGTCGTGGACTGGGGAGATTCTTGTTCCGTCACGGCAGTTAGATCCACTGGTCGTGCACAGAACAGTTCTAATGCCGCTAGTCCAAACCGGTAGTAAGAAACACGAGTCATTCGGGGCATTCTGAAGGCGTGCCGTGTTCTAAAATGTTCCGAAACTTCAACAATACTACTGACTAAATGCAAAGGACACCTCTGCGGTTCACGGATATGCGCGCGATTGGGCTCCACCGCATCTGAGTCATCCGGGAGCTGACATTTCTTCAGAAAGATACGTGCATGGTCGAGAAATGAAATCCGAAACTGCTCAAGAAAACAGGGCAGCGGGTAATGCTTGCGACTGTTGTTCGAAAGTTGCAGTGATTCCACGTAAAACGAAACGTATTGGTGGGCAGTCGTCTCGAGGCCCCTCCAATACAGGCCTGCTTTCAGCAAATCACGGGCGGCAGCTTCGACGGCTCTATTTGTTCGCAGAGAAAACAACACAACCCACAATGATGTGCGCAAGTCGAGAAATGTATGATCGACGAGAGTGGATGCTAGAGCCGATCGTTCAAATCCATCCGGGCTCAATGCACTTTCCAAATCGTCAAGGTGTTGAATTCCTTCTAAGATGTTGTCAAGGACAAGATCTTCTACTGTGGGTAGCTCTTTTACGCATGCTCGTAGCAAACAAGAAGCGTTTTTGGCAAGTCGAGAAGCAGATATCTGCTCTCTTGGGTTGCGTCGACGTTCCCCACGCATCTGGTTTTGATCTGTCTCGAAGTTATCAAAACCAAAACCATCTGATTCTGAAGAATCTGAATCAAAGTGGTTGCTACCTTCATCACCAAACGCGTTGTGGTCCTCATGACTGGAAATCATGTCCCTGTGATCATTTTCATCTTTTCTCCTCTCAAGATCCAGGTGTCCTCGTGAAACACGTTTCCTCTTGGCTCGATGTCTTGTAGAGGGTGAGGTTGGACCCCTGCTTCTTTTCAACGGTAACAACTGTTGAGATGATGGATCGCTTAAATTACCATTCGTGAACTGATGGATTTTCCTAATATTCTCTTTCGTTTGCGTCACACATGCTTCGGCAAGACCTGTGGAGAGTTTGGCAGAGATAGAAGACATTGATTTCGATAGTGCTTGCAGTAGTTGAACCCAAACAGAATGATCTTGCATTCTACTTCCTGAAGATGGCCTCAGACAGGTCTCGAGCGATTTTAAAAGCGAGCATGATACCTGTATCACACCGAGCGACAACTCAATCCTAGACACCAAGATTGTGAAGGGAGAACACGAAAACGATTTCGTAAGCTGTGTCAAAAGTTTCATTAATTCCTCGCTAGCTCTGTTTTCATTCGGAGTTATCTTTTTCCCAGTAGAAATTGTTCCCAGGGATATGCCCTGTAGCAAGTAGCTCCCCAGGAAGACGATGAGCTTTGCTTTAGAGTACGAGAGGTGTTCCTCGGACAAGTGGTGAGCCTCTTCAACCTCTGAAGAGTGCTCCGATACACTCGTGTAAGAGACACCCATCTTTCTCAGGGATACAGCTCTCGTCGTGTTCAAGAACGCGTTTGCTTTCAAAAGAATACTAGTTTCAATCTCATCAGTTATTGCTGGGTCAACTGAGAAGTGTTTTCTTGTTTGAACACCAGACAGGTGTTTGTCGCAATCAGGAGTCACTGCTGATTCTTCAGAAACACCAGAAATTATACCGACTGAAGCAAAGCTTAAAGGCCAAACCAGTTCTTGTTGCTTGACTTTCGCAACGAGTCTGCTTCCCTCACCAATGATCTTCTCTTCGCTGGCACAATACCCAAAGTAAGACTGAAAAGCATTGAATGCATCGGAAGCAAGCCCTTTCGAAATGTGCTCCTCCACGTCAACACAGCTCTTCCCTGCCGGACAATGGCTTATCGTGCATTCCCCCCTCGCAAGCCCAAGCACTACGCAAGAGGCATCGACTAATGTCTTCACCGCAGATGTCCTTGAAGCGTCAAAGTCTTTACATAGTCCAACCAGGGCAAGCGCAAGGCGCAGCCGAAGACGGCGTCCATGGAGGTCTGGGACGCCATTTCGCGCTATCAAAGTTCTGGTGTACTCAATTTCCATTGCAGAAGGAACATGTTTCGACGAAGTTAGTCGAGATATAGGATAGGGAAGAGCGCTCTGGCTGTCCATGTGCATGGCATCAATTCTTGCGGGCCAATGTTCAAACAGCTGTAGAGACCTGAGCAGAGATAAAGACTGCAGCAAGTGCTCGTCGGTCTGAACATTCTGGCCACCTACTCCATATTTACCTCTTCGAGGCACAGAGTACTTCATCTTTCGTACGTGCTCTCGCAAAGCCACGTACAAGTCGTTCCAAGATTCCTGTGCAAACGAGTTTGTAGCTTTGCGGTCGACAGCGACTCTATCTGCAATGCATGCCGCCAGATTCACTGTGCGAGTGCAACAGCGTATAACTTCGTCGTAAAACGACTCCTGTATTTTCTCGTGCCCTCGGAGGATCGCAGTGACAGCTTCTGCCGCTGAAGTGCACTGATCCAACGCGTCTTGTGCATCTAGAACAATAGTTGTTCCCTTTTTCAGGACACGTCGAGACAGAATCGCTATACATACCCGCAACCACACAATTACCAATCCCCAGCTAGACTCGGGGGAGGAGGCAAAATGGAGGCTTTCCCGCAAGGAGAAGCATGAAGCTGCGCAATCCACAAAGTCATCCTTCACATCTTGCCCTGCTCTTAAGACAGCTGAGGACCCTTCATCACGCAAGTCTACAAGCAGCCGCTGCCGACACGTATCCACTAGCTTTCTGTGTGTTGGGGCTATAAGCAAAAGTACTCTTGCAAGAGATACAGCAACGTCGTGATGCCTTCTGTCCGTCCAACATGCGATCATCGCCGTTAGGCTGACGTTAATTATTGATTCAACAGCGTTGCTCCCGATTGCATCCAGCAACTGATTGCTTAGCGTCGCAGTGAGTGTTCGAAAGGCGACAGCCTGGATCTGGCGGGCGTCTCGAGGAGAAGCTCTTCGCTTTGTTTCCGCAATGACCAGCATGAAGCAGCATCTTTCACAAACAATGGCATACCCAAAATCACCACCAAGCATTTTACTCGGCGCCAATGACTTTGTGCTTTGAGTGAGGGTATCGTAGCTGTCCACATTTCGCGCTATTGTCTCTAAAACATCACCTGCTAGCTGTGACACAACAGTCGATGAATGATAGAGGGGACCTCTGTTTGTGAGTTGTTCAACGCAGACATCAACCCAAGTACGAATGAAGGGAGGAGTGAGCATAGCGCGATTTGCATCATCTTGGAGAATATCTCTCACGCACTGCCATACTTGATCAGCCAGCAGTGGTCTCAAGGATGGCTCTGAGAGCCACTGATGTGCAAAGAAGAGAAAGGCTGGTACTACAGGTCGAATGACACCTGCAGGCCCATTGGCAAGGGAGAGCTTGAGCACCTCCTTGAAGCAAAAAACCAACTCGGATCTGAACGTTACTCTTCCTGTTTTCGAGGTAGCCCTTGATGTCAAGGCGTCACTACAAGCTTGATTCAACGTCTCTAACAGAACTATTGCAAGCTCCACCCATCCTAACGGTGGAATTCCTCCTGATGAGTCTTCCTGGGGTCCACGCACCATCTCCTGGACTGAGGCAGCGGTGAGTGCGTTGATAGTAGATTTCTTAGAAATCGCATTCCGTATAGCAACAACAGCCTTGTGTCGCTCTATCTTTCCTGTGCGAGGTCTTCTTCCAGTCCTGGGTGCTGAAGCATTGTAAAGAACGTCCACGTGAGTACGGACCTCAGCCAAAGCATACTCCATGATCGGACTCGGGATAAGGATGAGAGGAGATGACTCACTGGCCGATCAAACGATATCTGAGCGTGCCTCCAACATGAGGGGTCAGTGAAACCATTCAAGATTTTGCAGCAGACGCAAACATGGATGTGCAGATATGCTAACGACAGGCGAAAGGTAGACCGCCGCCGCTGCGAACCGAAAACACAGCCATGGGGAGAAACTAGTCCGAAGATCGGTCTCAATACCGTACCATGCCAGAAACTGAGGATACTGTTGCGCGAATTAGAGATCAACTTGATTCCGTCGGCCCGGCGTTTTGAGAGGGCAGCTGCCGGCCCACGAAATACAATCGAGAATCCCACCCGAAACATGGCGCATGCCACCTGTGAGGAATCTTACAGTGTTTTTGCTGCAAGAGGGCTACCACAGAACATCAAAATACCAACGATGCAAGATGCAGTAAAATCACGTACTACGTGATTTTACTGCATCTCCGATGCGGGCAACCGTTTTGACGACGGGAAACCCCCCAGCGATGCCGCCGGTATGATAAATCCTAACTTTCAATTAAAACAGTCCACCGCCCGAAGTGAAACTCCCACCTCTCTCAGACACCCGATAACGCAAAGGAAGATGTAAGCCAGGATGTCTGTAAAAGTATTGTGAGAAAAGGAGGATCCATTCCCAAAACATCCTTAGACTCAATACTACACTACATTGAAACCGCCATTGCACCCTGCATATGCATTTTTGCATTCTGCTGGAAACTTTTAGGAAACAAACGACAAACATACAATAACCAACCAGACCTCCGAAAATAACACTACACAAATACCTAACCATATCGAAGAGCATACTTTGCGTCGAAGTCCCCAAGTCTTCGGAGAGCCCAACTTATATACCCGACCCAACGTTTTATCTGGACCCAACGTCGTCGAAGAGTCCACTTTTTTTCTGGAACCAACCTCTTCGTAGGCCCCAACCTCTTTAAAGGGCCCAACTTTTGCAGGTTCCATCATTTATTCACGTATCTTGAAGACCCCACCTCGTCCAATGCCTCACTTTGTGTCGAAGACCCAACCCAACCTCTTGGGAGTCCCAAGTAGTCAGTCCAACGCTTCTACACTATCGAACTCTTTAGAGGTCCCAACTTGTATGCGACCCAACGTTTCATCAGGACCCGACCTCGTCAAAGAGCACCTTCTGTGTCGAAGGACTGTCGAAGACCCAACGTCTTCGGAGGGCCCGACCTCTTTGAACGGCCCAACTTGTGCGGGACCCAACCTCGTTGAAAAACACGCTTTGTGCCGAAGACTCAATTGTCTAAGACCCAACGTCTTCGGACGTCCCAACCTCTTCGGACGGCCCAACTTGTGCAGGACCCACCCTCGTCGAAGAGCACACTTTGTGCCGATGACCCAACTGTCGAAGACCCAACGTCTTCGGAGGGCCCAACCTCTTTGAAGGGCCCAACATGTGCAGGACCCAACCTCGTCGATGAGCACACATTTTGTCGAAGACCCAACGTCTTCGGAGGGCCCAACGTCTTTGAAGGGCTCAACGTGTGCAGGGCCCACGTTTCTTCAGGTTTTTTGAAGACCCCCCCTCATCGAACGCCCAACTGTTCTGCAGAGAAGAACCTATTTATGGGGAACATATCGTCTTCACAGTGTAATCCTTCGTTTACTGGCAACACAATGCGTATACGTCCATGGCTAGCTCTATTTTTAAATGCTCTTAAACGTTTCACAATCGGGCCATGTCTAATCAGACCATGTCTTCTTTAGTTGTTAATATTTTCATAATTTGTCATGCTCAATAGCATTATATATACACCCTGCGGTATTATCTAAGGATACATTAGTACTACTGTCTCCTTTAAATTCTCCATCAGTTTTACGTGTGTGGAACTATAAGGAGTAGAGTTTTGCAAGAACTGTTCTAAGCTCATCATAGCGATACATATCAACCATGGACGAGAGTTCTAGCCGTCTGCAGCTGAATGGCAAAAGAAGCCTAAGTGATTGTTAGTTTTGTCTTTAATCAACGCCTTTTGAGATTTTGTCGTCAAGATCTCTTTCAAGATCGTAACTGTCATTTTCTTGATTCCACAGTACGCTATGACATTTCATGAGTTGAATCACGAACTTCACAGTATATTACTTTCACAGTGAAATTTGCATTACAGTTTTATGATGGAAGAGTAGGTCAAAGGTTCTTACGGATAGCAAAGCAAGAAGACTCTTTCGCCATCATAACTATCAGGCCCTGCATTTGAAGAGAACGGGACTACAAGGGGTTATAATCATCTTACGTGTGTAAGTACGATCACGTTTAAGGATCAAGGTGTAATCATGAAGTCATCAGATTCTGAATAACTGATTGTAGCAACCAGTATGCGATGAAATTCCATTCAAAACTTTCTCGAATCTTCTCTAGACGTTTTTCCGCTAGAGTAGTCCTAAATACAAGGCTTTCAATTGAAATTATGAACATCAAACGCAAAATTTACATTCATATACAGAGAAAGGCACCTCTGACGTAATGGTGGACTGCCATTTGTGTTCAATTTGTGATTGTCAGAAATAATACAAACAGAGGTGCTTTTTTACGAAATACATGAATAGAATCGTGCGCTCCTGAAACAAATTTAGGTTTACTTGGTAGGTAAACACCGTCGGAAACAGTTCTCTAATGATTCGTGGGTTGCATAGAAAAGAATAACTCATTCGTTCCAAAAGCAGTAAACCCAAGCAAGGCGTACGAGTTGTGAACGTCTTCCAAGCCCACGTATTTCAACATTTCTGTCAGGCTCTCCCATGAGAATGCCCTGTAGAGAAAGAACAAATCTCGTCGCAGAACGTAGTAGTAGTACCCCGCTCCCCCTCTACGCGCGCTGTGCTCAGCCAATCCATAGATTCCACACTTCTCGCCCATGCCCCGTAAAAGACGGGCGTACGAACTGCCATCCAATTTAGTACCGCTTTGAAGGACGTTAGACTTCACTTGAACGAAGAGGTTTCCACTGCATACAGCGTGGGATCTTAAGACACAGAACCACCCCATGAGTGCTCGTAAGCCACAAATGGACACATCTACAGCTTTAGAAAATCTGAAGTAAGTGTAACTTGTTTTCCGGTTCTTAGTAATTGGAAGAACTCCAACAATTGGTGAATCAATTGTGTTTCCAGTGAAGCAGAAGTCTTTCATCTTGAGCGCTAACATTTCCGAACCTCTTGATACGGAGCTAAACTGCATCATATTCAAGCAAGCGACTTGAAGCTCGGAGTAGTTGACTGTCGGGTCTCTTCTAATAGCAGCAGGTAGCTGATCTTCGACAAATCTGTAGTAAAGAGCTCTGACATCCTCATGAGTTTCTTGGTATGCCCTTCTCGTTATATTTGCACGAGATATGCGCTGCGCTTCATCCAATCGGTTTATTAAGGACTGCAGGTCAGGAGACTTGCCAGGGTTACCAGTAAAGGATCCATCTGGGAGTCTGACATACTCTCCATCTATTCCTCTTCGTCTCCAGTAGGACACTACAGCACTTTTGATTGCGCCTCCTGTTGACTTTGCTTTAAGTCCCTCGAAACCATCTTCTCGCGGACCACACCTTGCGATGATAAGAGCACAAGCTACAAAAACAGGATCAGATTCCTTTTTTCTTGTAGGCGAGCAATCAAGCTCATCAACGTTAGCGCCAAGTGCCACCAGCCATTCATGGTACAATTGAGCGGATGACTTGTATCGTTTCTGAGACGACTCAGAAGTTGGATTGCGGACGATCCGTTCTGCAATTATACCTGCGTCAATATTTGGCTCCATTTTGTACCGAGTTGAGCGTCAGAAGTCGAAGATCGTAAGCCGTTCTGGGGGAAATCATAGGCTTTGCAAACGTTTCAACTGTCGGTTACAAATAAATATTTCAGAAAATTAAGTTTCCGTTGTTGCCCTTCATTTGACATCTGAGCGACAGCTTTCCAGTCCTGAAGGTATCTCTGTACACTCTCGTTCCCGTACCCTTCAGCATAGTGTTCTTTCAAGTCTACCACAGCGGTTTGTCACGTCTCAGAATGGGATACAGAGAGAAATCTCATCGCCGGATCAGTCTCGCTCAAACCGCACCTACAGATCGCCAAGTACAGATAATCCGGGCAGTAGCTGAGGTATTCAAATCTTTTTCTGATAAGAGTGAGAAGTTCGCTCTTTCAGATCCAACAGCATCACAAAATGGAATGCAGCAGCAGCTTTGTCCGATACAAGCTCTACCAGAAGGGTTTCTATCATATGAAAGCGACTTGCGACCTAACCCGCTGTTCGAGGCGAGAGGATCTAAAATTCTCGATACTTTTCAGGAGTCCTTACTCTTGTTGACCTCGGCAGTGAAGTCCACGGAACCATTGTATCATCCGCAAGGGACCCATCCAGTCACCGGTCAAGCTCTACCTCCATTGCTTAATTGTCCTACGAGACTTGCCACAGGAGAGGATATCGCATCACTTTCAAACACCATATCACGGTCATCTTTTGCCTTCCAAGTCATCAACAACAATTTATCATGTTTCCACCCTGCATTCTGGATCGCTCAAACACCCGGGAGCAGTAAAAGGGGTAAAAGATTTCACAGCGAAACAGAAATTGGAAGGTTTAAAGAACAGAAGAGAGATAGAGAAAAAACGAAGCACAAAATGCCAGTCGAAGACGCTGACACAGCTCACATTTCAACCTCCCACTTCAAGTACAGTGAGAAAAGCTGAGATACCACGTTGCTCGGACACTGTGGCTAGCATATTGAGGTGGTGGGTGAGGCCTGATCCAGTGGTAGCGCTTGAGAAAGCACTTATGGAATGGTCTGTATACAAAAGAAACCGAAAATTGCTCAAGAATGGAAAACAAGTTTCTAGTAAGGCGCTCTACGCGAAACGCAAAACGATAGCAATGGCTTTCTTTCATTTTTGTAGCGAAAGGTCTGTCAAGGAGTACGAAAAAGCTTTCACATCGTTATCCGAGTCAAAAAT